CATAAGGCCACTATGAATATAATAGAATAGAATGCCGTTTGATTTGAAAAACGCACCCGCAACATTTCAAAGATTGATAAACGTGATATTAACAGGGTTGCAAGGAGTCAAATGTTTTGTCTATTTAGACGACATCGTAATACACGGGGCAAGCTTAGAAGAACATGCAAAACAGGTTTTGGACGTGTTTGGTAGGTTGAGAGAAAACAATTTAAAATTGCAACCAGACAAGTGTGAGTTTTTTCGCAAGGAAGTCACGTATCTCGGACATAGAATTACGGAGAACGGAATTTCACCAGACCCTACAAAGGTGAGTGCAGTGGAGGAATTCCCCGTTCCGAAAAGGGTTAAAGAAATACAGGCATTTATAGGATTGCCGGGTATTATCGGAAATTTATCGATGGGTTTTCAAGAATCGCGAAGCCGTTAACTAAGTTGCTGTGTAAGGGAGCAGCATATGAATGGGATCAAGAGCAGCAGTGTGTGTTTGAGACATTGAAAAATAAGTTAAGTGAAGCACCATTGCTAGTGCGCGCGCGCGCGCGTACCCGCATTTTACAAAGGAGTTCATCGTCACCACGGACGCGTCGAGTTACGCTGTCGGCGCGGTGTTATCGCAAGGAGAGATAAGTCGTGACAGGCCGATCGCGTACGCGAGCCGAATATTAAACAAAGCGGAACGTAATTATAGCACGAAAAGGAGTTGCTTGCCATTGTCTGGGCAGTTAAACATTTTAGGCCGTATTTATACGGAACCAAATTTAAAATTGTTACAGACTATCGAGCGTTAGTATGGCTGTTTAATATAAAAGATCCTGGTTCGCGACTTATACGCTGGCGTTTAAAGCTAGAAGAATATAAGTACGAGATAGTGTATAAGAAAGGAAAAGCTAATACAAACGCGGATGCGTTGAGCCGGAGCCCGGTAAAAACAGCGAACGTGTGCGAAGCAGAAGAGGAGGAGAGCGCGATAACCGAGGCAAGTGAAACGCGCGAGCTGACCGAAGAAGAAAAAAGACAGGTGTTGTATGAATATCACGATGCTCCTGGGAGCACATCAGGGAGTCGCGCGTACTGTAAAACGAATCTGTAGGAATTATGATTGGCCTAGCTTGACTCGAGATGTGGAAAGTTATATCTCGAGGTGTAAGTCGTGTTAGAAAAATAAATTGACAAAGAGGTTTAAGGCCGATGATTATTATTGACACACCGAGCGAGCCGTTCGAAAAGTGTGCCCTGGATGTAGTCGGGCCATTGCCAGTGACAAGTAGGGGAAATAGATACCTACTCACGTTTCAAGATAACCTTACAAAGTTTAGTAAGACAATGCCTATTCCTAATCAGGAAGCAGCAACTGTAGCGAAAGAATTCGTAACGAAAGTAATATGCGAGCATGGAATACCAGGTACAATTTTAACCGATAGGGGTACAAATTTTGTGAGCGAGTTCAAAAATGTATGTAAGTTATTACGTATAAGCAAGGTGCAAACTATGGCGTATCATCCGGAGAGCAATGGAGCTCTGGAGCAATCTCACCGAACACTGACTGAGTACATTCAGCATTTCGTAAAAGAGGTCCAAACCGACTGGGATGACTGGGTGCCGTATGCTATGTTTGCATACAACACCACGTCGCATTCAGTCGGTTTTACACCGTTTGAGGTGGTGTACGGACGAAGCGCAGAACTACCGACGGCATTGACAAAACCTCCGTCCATACAGTACAGTTTAGAAAATTATGCTCAGGAATTAAAGGAGCGTATCAGGGCAGCAAATCGGTTGGCAAAAAAAAACTTGAAAGAGGAAAAGAAGAAAGCCAAGCAGTTGTGACGGAGCCAGCTCCGCCACCTGTAAATAGTTAACATTATTAATATTAGTTTTTATTTTTTCCTTTTTCTTATTAATTAATCTTCTGTATTATTCTTATTAATATATTAATATACGTATTATATATATATATCATGCCACACGTCTACCATAATTCCGCCAACCTTCCTATATAATTCCTATCCTCCTGCGGACTAACCGATAGTTTAGGGATTATAGCATGTAAGAACGCACGTGAACAAGAGATCTGTGCCCGTGCGACGCGGCACAGGTGCGTGATACAGCGCACAAACAAGCGCGTACCGCACACCGACCCCGGACGGACCGTAGGCCGCTCCGGGGTATATAAGCCCAGCGATTTCGGCAGTCGAGACCAGTTCAGGGATGCCAGATACCGGCCGCTTGGTAGCATGCGGTAGTATGGAAGGGATACGCACACAGCTTCATGCCGTGTTAGGACTCCGAAGCTCGAGCGCACACGTACACGGCATGAAGCTGTGTGCGTATCCCCTCCATGCTACCGCATGCTACCAAGCGGCCGGAATCTGGCATCCCTGGACCAGTTCCTTTCCCGAGCTCTCGAGGCGGTGTCTCAAGAGCGATTCTTCCTGAAGCCGAGACGTTGTCTCGGACTTAGAATTCTCCGGTCGAGGCGTTGTCTCGACAAGACCCGGTGCTAGAGGCGTTGTCTCGAACACCACTTCCTGGCCATCCGGTCGAGGCGTTGTCTCGACAGAACCTGGTGCGAGAGGCGTTGTCTCAGACACCATCCTGACCTTCCGGTCAAGGCATTGTCTCGACAGAACCCGGTGCTAGAGGCGCTGTCTCAAACACCACTTCCTGGCCGTCCGGTCGAGGCGTTGTCTCGACAAGACCCGGTGCTAGAGGCGCTGTCCCGAACACCATCCTGACCGTACGGATCGAGGCGTTGTCTCGATCTTCTCCGGCACTTCAGTGCACACCTCCGTCTCCGTCGGCTCCACGAGCCCGGAGATTCAATCAACCGTTGTCACTGCCACTCTGACAAATAGTCGTTCTCACGACTCAAACGGCCGTTGTAACCGCCACCAGAAAACAGTCGTTCTCACGACTCAACCGGCCGTTTTCACGGCTCGGAACATCCTCAGTGTAAATACGTCCCGCGTGTAAATATACCCCGTAGGTTTAAGTTTAGAAATAAGTCCGCCGCGCCGAAATTCGTATTACCCGCGCCGATTTCACAACTAGCGCGATACAAATCCACCCGAACCATTCCGCACCAGAATCACCGCGCCGATAAATCCGAATCTGCTAATAATCGATGTAAATACCATAATTAAGTGAATAAACCTTAACTACCTTTCAGCATTAAAATAACCGAGTGTCGCAATTTCACGCCTTCCTCTCCCGGATCCTTGGCGCCGACCGAGCTGTCCGGCAGGCGGAAGGCCGGGCGAAGTCAATAGAAAATCGGCTTCGTTACACAGTGTTACGACAAAAGAGCAAAAGTAGTAACTTTTAAAGTAAGAGACAAAGTGTTAGTGTTTGATAAAACACTTCGCAGGGGCAGGTCGAAAAAATTAGAGTCCATGTGGATAGGCCCATATGAAATTGTAGCGAAAGTATCAGACGTTACATATACTATCAAAGCAAAGAGACGCACGCAGAATGTGCATGTAAATAGGTTGAAAGCCTTCCTCCCGAATGGGTTCCCATTTTGTAGTAGCTCCGAGGCGGGAGCTCCGGGTCTGCGGAGCGCTCGGTGTGCACGTGGTCTGGCCGCCTCGCAGTAACTACACGGAACGTTTATTTTGTTCCCAGCGTGTGCTGGTGGCGGCGCGGCCGGGCATTGATCGCCAGCCCCCGAGTGGACGCTGGAGCGGATCTGCCCGGTCGTGCTGCCACAATGAATGTGTAAACTGACGGGACAAGTATTGACCACAGAAGGTGAGCATCTGGTGTCTTCGGAGGCTCAGGGCAATGTCCCATTGAGCGGAAATCTATAGCGGAACGGNTGGTGGGGCTTAAGGTTGCGGGCGGTGGTCACCCGCTCAGGGGTGGGCCCGCCCGCGGCCAACTAAGAGGAACTCCCTAAGCTAAGGTGTGAGCAACCGTGCCGAGAGCTGCGTGGCGCAAAGGGTGTTGCGTCCTGAACGGTGCCTCCTGGATACCGGGCGAAATCCAGGAGTACGGAGCCAAGTCCCGGCCATACGCGGCTCTGGCCAGGTGAGACGCGCGACCGCGACACTCGTGGGACTCAAATGGATAACATTTTAGAAAGCAACCCTTCCAAAGCTTCCAAGGGCGAAACTTCTTCCGGACGCAAACAGGGAGTCCAAACGATACGAGAGCGGGCTTTGTGGCCCCGCCTCGCAAAAGACTTAGCGTGGCTACCAGGCGCCGTTTGAGAAACGAGAGGCAAGCGAGGGAGAGTGTGGCTGCTAAGGCCCCTCACACCCATACTGCTGTTGCTTTAAAAACAGGAATTGGGGGTGGACGGGCTTCGGGTGGCGCGGTGAAGTGCGCCAGGCCGGTGCCCTAGTCCTCCTACCAATCGCCAGGACAAGAGACCCAGAAATGAAGGGTCTTATGCCCAGGTGACAACAGGAACTGTCAAGGTGGCCCTAGTATATTGGAGGGCTACCCTGACAAGAAATTAGGAGCTGATGAGGAGTTGGAGATCAAGAAATTGATTAGGTCTCGCATCCTCGGCATGTCCGGAGATGCCGAAGTTCCCACTTTCATCGGCACCTGGGATATAGATAGGGCATTGGTGATAGTATGTGCCAATATAGAGTCGGAGGAGTGGCCTAGAAATAATTTCTCTGATTGGAAGATTAGGAGAACTCCTCTGCGTGTGTTGGCGGCCGGTGAGCTACCGAGGCGTCACCGGGTGGTAATACACATGGAGGAACCCGATGTAGAAGTTGAGGAAGCCTTGAAGCTCCTCAATTAACAAAATGCGGGACTGGCAACCAATGAGTGGGTCGTCGTCAGGGGAAGTCGAAGTAGGGACGCCACGAGCGCCCACTTCGTCTGCCTGATTGGCGACTCTTCGCTGAAAGCTCTAAAGAACCGCGACTTCAGACCTTTCTGCGAAACCGATCGCGCCACTGTTAAGGTGGTGGCGAGTCGGGAACACGGAGAGGCCACCGAGCAAATGGAGGTGTCGGAGGGTGTCGAGACTGCTTAAAATGGCTCTTCTGGGCATCCAAATGACACAAATTAACTTGCATCATAGCAAGAGCGCCTCGGCAATTTTAGCTAGGAGCATGGCTATGATGCAAACAAGTATTGCACTAATCCAAGAGCCTTGGTTTGTAAACGGTGCAATTAGAGGACTGAGTGGATGCGGTAATTTATACAAAACACACTCCGAAAAAAGAATAAGATCTTGCATTCTGGTTAAAGGACTAAATGCCATCTTTCTGCCACAGCTCAGCAGTGAGGACCTCACAGTCATCAGGGTGAGAGTACAACTGGCCGAGAAGGAAGACATGGAGATACTGATAGGGTCAGCTTACATGCCCTTTGACTCCAGGGATCCACCACCGCAAGAAGAGGTAAAAACCCTCGTGGCCTATGCGGAGGACAGGGGACTAGAACTCCTGCTGGGTTGCGATGCAAACCCCCACCATGTCGGATGGGAGAGCACCGATATTAATCCGCGGGGGGAGAGTCTCCATGGTTTCCTAATGGGCACAGGACTCACCATCCTAAATAGAGGAACTGAGCCAACCTTTCAGGACTCAAGAAGACGGAAGGTTATTGACATTACGGTAAGTACGGAGAAGGTGGCGGGTCTGGTGAGAGACTGGAGGGTCTCTAATGAACCTTCGGGATCCGATCACAGACAAATACGTCTAACTCTTCAACACTCGCCACCGATAAGCTGGGCTTGCAATCCCAGGAAGACTAATTGGAACGGCTTCAGGGCTTACCTCAAAGCCCGGCTTGCTGGAGCCCCAACTAGTTATAGGTCTAAGAATAACTTAGAAGATGCGGCGGACTACTTAAAGAACGCCATTGTAGATGCCTACGAATCAAATTGCTTGTCGAGACCAAGAAAGCCGATGACCAAGATCCACTGGTGGAATAATGAGCTTGAGAAGCTGAGGTCAGAAACAAGAAAGGGATTCAACAAAGCAAAAAGAACTGGCCTTGCGGCTTACTGGGAAGCTTTTAGAAGCTTTCAACGAGAATATAGCAAGGCAATCACGAAAGCGAAATGCAAAAGCTGGAGACACTTCTGCAAAGGTATTGAGAGTACCCCGGAAGCATCCAGACTTTGCAGAATCCTCAGCTTAGATCATCGTCCTCAATTGGGCTGTCTTAAGCTTCCAACAGGGAACATTACTGAGAAAGGATTGGACACTCTAAAACATTTGATAGATGTCCACTTCCCAGGATTTGACAATTAAAAAACAATTTAGTCGGTCGAAGCCCAGGGAATATAAGCCCAGGGAATGGCAGTTAGCAGCAAAGGTTGTCTATCCGAGAGGTGTTGAATGGGCTGTTAAGAACTTCCCTATAAATCCCTATAAATTACCGGGACCGGATGGAATCTACCCGATTCTTTTTCAGAAGGGTCTGGGGATTTTAATTGGTCCACTTACAAAAATTTTCAGGGCAAGTATCGCCCTAAGACACGTCCCCCAGGCTTGGAGTAGAACAAGAGTCGTTTTCATACTCAAGCCTAGCAGAAATGGCTACATACTACCATGATCAAAAAATAACCGGAATTTATTCATAAAAAGAAAAGTACATGTTTAATCTTCAAAATTCAAGTTGTCCCCTTCAAAGTAGTCCCCGTCGGCTGCGATGCACTTGTGCCAGCGTTTGATCCACCCCTCGAAGCTTTTCTGGAAGTCGGTTTTTGGTATAGCCATTAGTGCCCCCAGCGATTTTAGCTTTATTGCCTCCACACTCTCAAAACGAGTTCCTCGTAGTGGTTTTTTGAGTCAATCGAATAGGAAGAAGTCACATGGTGCCAGATCAGGTGAATTGGGCGATTGTTAAATGGTATTGGTGTTGTTTTTGACTAGAAACTCACGAGAATTTTTGCACGAAATTCAGTTCTTTTGGCACCAATCTCGCAGTGACTCGCCTCAGATCCAAATCCTCACGCAAAATGCTCTGAACGGATCCGAATGATATGTTGGTGGTCTCAGCTATCTCCCTTATCGTCAATTTGCGAGTTTCGATCAACAATTGTCGGATTTCATCGACGTTTTCATCAGTTTTCGATGTCGATGGCCTCCCAGGACGAGCATTGTCCTCAACAGCCTCACAACCACTTTTAAAGCGTTCATACCACTGGTACACCTGTGTTTTCGATAGAGTATCGTCACCATAACACTTTTGTAACATTTTTAATGTGTCGGAACACTTAATTTCATTTTTATAGCAAAATTTAATGCANTAATGCAAGAACGTTGTTCAAGTTTTGAATCCATTGTAAAAATCGCCGCGACGTAAAAACTTGATGTAAAGAAATCACTGTCATAAAGGTAAATGAACAGCTGATAAGCAGAAGCTTTGCATGGGTGTCCGTAACAGTGCTGCCAACGTGACACAAACAACAGAATTCTAAACCGATAAGCCCACGAGGTTTAAATTAAAAATTCCGGTTATTTTTTGATTATGGTAGTATATATATATATATATATATATATACGTCACAGAAGGGAGGAGAGGGGCGCAGGGCGTGACGTCCTTCTGTTGTATATAAACTTAATTGCGTGATTCTGATGCATCATGATGTTGGACAACCTGGCAGAATGTTGCGAGAATTAAGGAACACAAAAATCATATCAATAGAAACTCCTCTCAAAGATCTGTAATTACTGATCAAAGAATACAATACTCTCACGAGTTCGATTGGGATAACTTGGGATTACAGAGAGGGCAGATCAACTGATACTGCCCTGCACCATCTCGTGGGCAAAGTTGAGGCACAGATGGAGGCAAAGGGATATGCCTTGGGCGTATTCCTGGACATCGAGGGAGCTTTTGATAGCACCTCGTATGATGTGATCGGGAAAGCGATGACCAGGTATGGCATTCCAGCTGCGTTAGCAGACTGAACACAAAGCATGCTTACAAGAAGAACCTTGATTGCTAGTCATGGGGACTCGGTGGTGCATGGCTTCTCCGCCAAAGGTTGTCAGAGGGGAGTGCTATCTCCCTTACTGTGGTGCCTAGTGGTGGATGAACTTCTTGAGAAGTTGCAGAAAGCGGGCTTCCCCGTCTATGATTACGCTGATGATGTGGTCATAGTGGTGGGGGGCAACTTTCTTGCGACACTCAAAGATATAATGGAAAAAGCACTTACGCTTACGCAAAACTGGTATCAATCAAAAGGACTTAGGACTAATCCATCAAAGACCAAGGCCATGATTTTCACCAGGAAATATAAACTTGAGGCCATTGAGCCGTTAAGGTTCTGGCATGAGAAAATAAAATACGTCCAGTCAGTCAAATACTTGGGAGTCTACCTAGATACCAAACTGAGCTGGAAAACACATCTTGAAATAAAGAGATCCAAGTTTTACGTCTCTTTTTGGGCGTGTGAAAGAGTAATGGGAAAGTCCTGGGGCATTAAACTGAATGCTGCCCTATGGATATACAAATCGGTATTGTTACCGAGATTAACATATGCTGCTGTGGTCTGGTGGCCTAGAGTAGAAATGACGGAGGCAAGGAAGCTGCTAAGAAGCCTACAGGGTAACTACCTAAGGGCAGCGTAGGGGCTATGAGAACAACACCAACAGAGGCGCTGGAAGTAGCACTTTGTATTCCTTCTCTAAATCAACAAATAATCAGCACCGCCGGACTCACAGCATATAGACTAAGGTGTCAGGGGGAATGGAGACAATTCGGGACAGATCATACCAAGCTCGGGTTTCTCCACAAATTTCCCTTCACACTGAAGCAAGATAGAATATCCAGAATATACCAAGTAAACAAAGCGTTTTCTGTAAACCTGTCTACTAGGGCTGAATGGTGTAATAAAAACCTATAGATCTAACCGAACATAGATGCGTGGTTCGCCGATGGATCTGGAGCAAACGACCGCTTTGGAGCAGGTATATATGCAGGTATATTGTCCAGGAAACAATCACAGAGAGTTTTTCTCTCTGGATAGGTAAGCCACGGTCTTCCAAGCGGAGGTCTTGGCTATCTTGGAATGTGCAAGACTCTTGCTCTCAAAGAAGACCATGAGCAGGAGGATCCATATCTATACAGATAGTAAAGCCGCTATAAGAGCCCTTGCTAAGACCACCAATGAATCATCAGTGGTTTGAGACTGCATGCAAGCTCTGAACAGATTGGGAGATCATAACAAGATCACACTAATCTGGGTACCCGGCCATCAAGATATCCGCGGTAATGAGATAGCGGATGGCTTGGCAAAGCTGGGCACCTTAGAGAAACCAGCTGGCCAAAAAGTCGGCGTTCCCTTTGCCGTACAGAAAAACACATCAAGGATTGACTAAAGCGAGAGCACCAGGACTCTTGGAAGAAACTGAAAAGCTGTCGCCAGGCCAAACTCTTGATGAGTCAGGCAGGGCTAAAAAACTGCTGGCTATGGATAAAGATAGACTAAAACTAAGTATCGGTCTTCTCACTGGACACTGGGCTTTCAAGGCACATTTGTACAACATGGGATTGGCCGACGAAGCAAACTGCAGATTATGCGGTGAGGAAAAGGAAGACAGCGAGCATATACTTTGTCACTGTCTATCTTTAGCTCTTAAAAGACTCAGATCCTTGGGCTGCATGTTTGTGAGGCCCGAGGACCTGAAAAATATCAAGATCAGCCATTTGCAAAGTCTGTCAGAAAATGCCGGGCTGAAGCAGATAGGTCAATAAGCAACTAGCGGGAGTCACAGAAGATCTTGTAGATCTAGGTGACATAAAGGGACTCTAATAGCCCCCTCGCTCCTAGCTTATTATTATTATTATTATTAGGTTGAAAGCCTTCATTGAAAATTAGAGTTTAAAAGAACTTACCTTCTCACTCTGAGTCGGACAAGGTTACGACGGGAGGTGAGACGCGGGGCGGGGACCCCAGACACACCACGGAGTCCTCCGAAGTGAGGGAGAGCCGTGGTTCTTGGGAACAGGTCGGTGGCTCCGGGTCCGGCGAGGCAGGCGGCGAAAGACGCGCTGTCAAAAAGATGACCTTTTTCGAGCTGGAGGTCGACGGAGAGCCGGGGGCTCCAAGTCGGCGAGAGTCTTGTCGGAAGATGAACCTTCGGGGGTGCGAGGCACGCTCCTGGTCGTTGGCACGTCTGGAGACGCACTGTCACTTCCACTGTCACTCAGGTTCCACGGCACAGAGGTGACAAGGGGGTTCGGATCGACCCGAAGCACACCGGCGAGTTCTGCACGAGCACGTCTTGGTAAACATGGTAAAAGTTTTTCTCTCGCGTGGTGGTGCGTTGACGTCTAGCGAGGCACTGATGTTCATCGTCGCAAAGAACCGTGTTCCGAGGTGGGAACAAAGGAGTGATCGCGTAGTGGCTCAAATGAAAGTCCGGGAATTAAATGTAGAAGCTGGTTAAAAAGTGCTTAGACCAGCATGTCAGCAGGTTTATTCGCGACACGTTAGCTGACTCCGTTTTTAGTATGTAGTTAATTGAAGTTGTGTACAAAACTTCGAACCAGTTGTTTAATTCTAGGGTGCTGCTAGGATGCAGCCTGTTAGCAGGCCAGGAGATCAAAGAATTTGATCGAAAGTCAGGGATGTATTTCGAAAAACTAGGGGACCATTATCGCGTAGAACCAAGTTGGAAAATTATAGTAAGCGTAAACGCGGATACTATAAGTCAACGAAAAAGTCAGTTGTGTGAGTTAACTCGAAACACGCACAAAAACTGTCAAGAATTAAAGTTCCTGGATGGGGTAGCCCGCATGAATTGCGACAGCATAGTCGCGTTGTTAAAAAAGGATATGAAGCAACTCGACAAGGCAGTGTCACATATCGAGTTTCTTAGTACGAGTGCCGACAAAGCAAAGTCGACGCGGTCTAGTCGACGGAATCGGTGCAATGGCAAAATGTTTATTCGGAGTAACTGACGCGGAAGACGAGAAAATAATAAGTGAGCAACTAAGTGACTTGAGTCTAAATCAAGAAACTTTGCGCGGAGCGATGAGGGGACAACTCCAAATTTTGAATAAAACGGTGGTACATTTTAACAATTTGGAAGAAACGTTACAGTATAATGAGAAAGTCATAACAAACGTTACCGACCGAATAGGCATCGACGCGTACGAACAACGCGAACAGCTAGATGAGTATTTTAAGACAGTCAACGCGATAGTATCGGATCTGTTGAGAAACGCCAAACAGTTAGTGGAATTTTTGTTACATCTAAGGCGCGGGGTAGTTCACCCAGCGGTAGTATCACACAAA